TCCTGGCCTGCACGGGTTCGTGTGACAGAATAAAGCAAGATTGGAAGGAAGATTGATTTCTGGTTGCAACACGGCCAATTCCTCCAAATTCTTGAAGGAGAAAGGCGAGAGCTGGTGTTCTCCTCGTATTCAGTAAGGTCAGAGAGACGATATTACGAGTATTTGCCTGATAATAATGTATTAATAGGCTGGGTGAGGCGGAGGCTTCATTGATCAGTGCTTTTGAAGTTGATCAGCCTCCCAGCGCTGTGTTGGAAGGGGGCGGGGTAGGACAGTGCTGGATTTCGTGTATGACTGTGCTGGATTTCGTGTATGACTGTGCTGGGTTTCGTGTATGACTGTGCTGGATTTCGTGTAGGACTGCTGTATTTCGTGTAGGACTGTGCTGTATTTCGTGTAGGACTGTGCTGGGTTTCGTGTAGGACTGTGCTGGATTTCGTCACTGTGTGCTTACAGATATTCCTGGGAACACAGTGTGGGGTGTAACAAGCTCAAGATCAGCGGTGGATATAGGTTTGAGACGTTTCGGTCTGGTGTGAGGTCAGTCTAATGTAGAAGGCCCAGTGCTATAACGTGGACTTGAGATGAAATAGCATGCAAGAGTAGTATTGGTAGCATTAGGTATTGGTAGCATTAGGTATTGGTAGTAGTATTCCTATTGGTAACAGGAAGATAGGAGTATTGATGTGGGAGTTTAGGGCTTGTCACACCCCTTTATAGAAAGCAAAAATATCTTAATACAGTTCTTGCAGCAGTATTAGAATTCATAGATCTTAACTCTCTTTTTTATAAAATCATGGTGATATTGAATGTGCATTCATCCAAAATCAAAGAGCTGTATTTTAAATTTGCACGTGGCACTAATGTATTTTTTTCGTTTACTTATGAGCATTGGATATATACTACTACTGGATATGATGTTGATTAGGGTACTTGCTCTATTACTCAAAGTATAAGAATGTGACTAATTTGACAGGATGAAAATGCATGAAAATTGCATGTTAAAAGAAAGAAAAAATGCTGAACTGATAGAAAATATATAGAGAGATGATGGTTAAAGGACCTCTAACAAATACCCTATGTATTAATATGAAAATATTTAGCACATCGGAAGTATATTAATAGTCTGTAATTGACTGTCTGACTTTCAGTAGTTATTTACTGTATATGATAAGAAAATTTATATGGTATTTGCTAGAGGGCCAGGAACCCAGGTATTGCTTTCACTACACTGTGATTAAGCAATTTGCATGTAAAGAATGTTGATTGTTCACAAAGAAGCTTATTGATACACCTGCATTGACTCAAGTGATTGCAGTGACCAATGTACCTTTGGCTGTCAGGCAATGGCCAACGAACCTCTGACATCGACATTCTGATAAAACAGAGCTTATGCTACCACCTCTTTTCATGATAAACTGATAGAGGGGTTAATAAACTTTGTGTTGCCAAAATATGCATTATGGAAGTTAGTTGGTCTTGGCTGGAGTGCTGAAGGCATGTAGACTGCGGGCATTGCTCAAATGTGAAGTAGATTTTACCCCAACTACTGAGCAGACTACAATTTCAGCATGTTTTGTTTTTCTGATGTTTTATTTTTCCTATTGATTTTCCATTACCTATCATATCCTTGTTGAGGTCAAGGGTGTTCTTAGCTGAGAAGTGACAAGTGTCATCTGGAAAGAGAATTCTCTTGCTTATGATCTAAGCTGACAAGAAGAAATAATATACACGTAATTGGTTTAACTTGTCAGATGTCACTATAGAATATGCAGCATGCCACATTTTTAAAATTATAAACTTCAAGATGAGCATTTATGGTAAAAAAAGGGAAATAGAAGCTTGAGTTATAGCTTGCACTGATGTTCCTGACCCATTTGATTAGGAAATGAATTGTAGGAACATTTTTTCTCCAAACATTCAAGTATTGGCCTATATATGTGTTCTTTTATGTTTAACAGGAGTTGATTGCCTTTTTTGCTGAGGCAGGAGCATTCTCCGACTTTTAATTATTTTGGATGTCTTTATAGGTAAAACTTGCACTGCATATAGTAAAACACAATGTGAGAAATTGGTATATGTATAAACTAAGACTTAATTTCCCATGATTCCAGAAATGCTACAGTTTTTAGGCAATGAGCCACAGGAACAACCATTTTTGTATGTGGTGAATAAAGTCTAGACCACATGCAGAATTAATGATGTATTTTAGTGTATGCCCTTGGGTCACTTTTATTATATAATATTAGGAAAATGTTGATATGCTCACCTGCAACAATGCCTCAGATTTTTTTGAGGCATATTTTAGTTTTCTGTATTCGTATTGTTTCCTTTTTTTTTCTTTTCTCTTTTTTAATTTTTTAATTCCTCGGTTTATCTATATACCTCAACCTCATATTCTTTTTCTCTTTCTCTTTCTCCTCCCTCTCCTCCTCCTCCTCCTCCTCCTCCTCCTCCTCCTCCTCCTCCTCCTCCTCCTCCTCCTCCTCCTCCTCCTCCT